CCCGGGCATGGTAGTGCATGCCTGTAGTTCTGGCTACTTGGAAGGCTGAGGTGGAAGGATCGCCGGAGCCCAGCAGGTCGAGGCTGCGGTGGCCATAAGCGGCCACTGCACTCCAGTCTACACGACGGAGTGAGACTCCAACTCAAAAAGGAAATGCATCTCAGTGCTACAGTGAGGTCCAGATGACTGCAGACTCATCTAGAAAATGCACTTTTGGCCTGGTGCAGTGGCTTACACCTGTAATCCTAGCACTTTGGGAGGCAGAGGTAAAAGGACTGCCTGAGCCCAGGAGTAAGAGACCAGCCTGGACAACTTGGCGAGACCTCATCTCTATAATAAATCAAAAACTTAGCTGGGCGTGTACCTGTTACCCCAACTACTTGGAAGGCTGAGGCAGAATAATCTGCAGATCAGAGCTGTGGTGGCAGTGTACAAGCCACTGCACTCCAGCCTAGGTGACAGAGTGAGATTTTGGCTCAAAAAATAAAATAAAATAAAATAAACTTTCTCCTGGGGTTGGTGTAAGTGCTACAGGGAAGCAAAGTGAAAAAGAAGTGGTGACAAGGCCAGCTTCGGGAAGACACAAGCTGGAGAAGGACCGTGAAGGTGACGGACATCTGTGGTGGTGGAATGTTGAATGTGGGCCGGGCTCGGTGGCTCAGTCTGTAATCCCAGCACTTTGGGAAGCCGAAGAGTGGACTGCCTGAGCCCACAGGTTCGAGACCCGCCCAGGCAACTTGGCGAGACCTTCTCTCTACAATAAATCAAAAATTAGCCAGGCATGGTAGCACACGCCAGTAGTTCCGGCTACTGGGAAGGCTCAGGCGGGAGGATCGCCTGAGCACAGCAAGTCGAGGCTGCGGTGGCCAGGAGTGGTCACTGCACTCCAGTCTGGGCAACAGAGTGAGACACCAACTCAAAAAAAAGAAAAAGAAAAAGAAAGTTGAATGTGAGCTTAGAGCCGCCAAGGGCCACCCTTCAGCCCATGTCTGTGTCCTCCCTTGTCTGAAAGCATCAGGTCATGAAACTTGCAAAGTGGCATTTCTTTTCCAGCGGTAGCAGATGCTCTTATTTTACTTTCTAACACATCTTTATAAAAACCCAAACGGGATGAATCACAGCTTCTGGAAATGTCAGGCCCAGCCCGGGCGCATTTTTATCCCCGCCAGTACCTTGGGATTCAGTCTTCTGTGTCTGTGGGAGCGAGTGAACAGCTGCTTCCGTTTTCTGTTCCAGCTCAAAGATCTTTGCTAAAAGGCCCTTCACGTAGGCCTCTCGCTGCTGATCGTACACGAGCCACTGCTGATTTTTCTCCAGAGCCTTAATGTGAAGACGAGAGAAAATCAACACTCAAATAACAACACCATCTTCTTTTTTTTTTATGAGTTGGAGACTCACTCTCTCACCCAGGCTAGAGTGCAGTGGCACACTCACGGCCACTCCAGCATCGACCTGCTGGGCTCTGATGATCCTTCTGCCTCAACCTTCCAAGTAGCCAGAACTACAGGCATATGCTACCATGCCCAGCTCATTTTTTATTTATTGTAGAAACGAGGTCTTGCCAAGTTGCCTGGGCTGGTCTCGAACCTGCAGGCTCAGGCCATCCACTCGCCTCAGCCTCCCTAAGTGCTGGGATGACAGGCTGAGGCACCGAGCCTGGCCACAACCACCATCTTCAAATGGGCAAGGAGTCCAAGCGATGTCGTCTCTTCCAACATATAAAAACTCTATGGCTCCTAGAATAATTATCATCGGAATGTGTAACAACATGGCAGTGTCATGGTTTATGTAGGATTGAGTTGATTTGTTGGCGTTCTCCAATACACAGCTTGCTCTGTGTGTGTACCCATCATTGTAACCCACAATGCCTTTTGCGGCAGAGAGTTGTGTTGCTCAGATCCCCTTCAGGAAAGAGCTCAACCCACCTACAGGGAGAGGGGTGACCGACAGCCTCCAGCTGTGGCCCCCTTCAAGTCCTTCTCAGCTTTTGAGGACAGACTGGGCAACTCAGTGAGACCTTGTCTCTATAATGAATCAAAGCATCAGCCGGGCTCGGTGGCTCAGCCTGTAATCCCGCGCTTTGGGAGACTGAGGTGAGTGGATTGCCTGAGCCCACGGGTTCGAGACCCGCCTGGGCAACTTGGCGAGACATCATTTCCACAATAAATCAAAAAAATTAGCCGGGTGTGGTAGTGCACGCCTGTAGTTCCAGCTACTCGGAAGGCTGAGGCGGAAGGATCGCCGGAGCCCAGCAGGCCGAGGCTGCGGTGGCCGGGAATGGCCACTGCACTCAAGTCTGGGCGACAGAGTGAGACTCCAACTCAAAAAAAAAATAAAAAAATAAAATAAATAAATCAAAAAATCAGCCAAGCATGGTGTTGCATGCCTGAAGCTCCAGCTACTTGGAAGGCTACAGAATGGACAAGGCTCTGTGGACCCCCGTGGGCCGACAGAGGCTGTGTCAGGTCTTTATCGTGGCCCCACGGTCCCTGCCTTCATGCTTCCTTGTTTTCCTCACCCCCCAACAGATCACTTGCCCCAGAGGTCAAACTTCAACAGCCACCTTCTCTCTGTGGCCAACTTACATAATCTTTTATAACCCAATTAAAAGCCCAAACTGGGGAGTCTCTCATCTGTTGGTATAGGGGTTTTGTCTTCGGAGTGAGTTGAATATTGACCCTCTTAAGTTCATGTCTACTCATAACCTCAGAATATGACAATACTCAGAAAGAGGGGCTTTGCAGACAGAATTAGTTGAGGCTATGTAGGAATAGGGAGAGCTCTAAGCCCAATGACTAGTGTCCTTATAAGAGAGGACACATGGCCACACACACAGAGAAGGCCACATGGAGACAGAGGCAGAGACTGGCCAAGAAGCGCCCACAGTCACTAGCTGGAAGAGGCATGGAAGCATTCCCCCTAGAGCCTTTCCAGCACCCATGGTGATTTTGACACCTTGACTTTGGACTTCTAGCCTTCTGATGTGAGAGAGAATATATTTCTGCTGTTTTAAGCCACTGAGTTAGTGTAATTTGTAAGTCTATTACTCATTGACTAAGTAATATGAAAAAATGCAATAAAAACCCCTTTGGGATGAGCTATCTTACCTACCACAACCTTTTGAGTGTTTCATAGGCACTCTGTGTGTTATAACTTGTCCCAGATCCATTATAATTTATTATTATTAAAGTTGATGGGTATAGTGGCTCACACCTGTAATCCCAGCACTTTGGAAGGCCAAGGTGAGAGGACTGCCTGAGCCCAGGAATCTGAGACCAGCCTGGACAATATGGTGAGACCTTGTCTCTACATTAAATCAAAAAATTAGCCAGGTGTGGTGTCATGAGCCTGTAGTTCCAGCTGCTTGGAAGGCTAAGATGGGAGGATCGCCTGAGTCTAGCAGGTTGAAGATACAGTGGCCAGCAGCATATCACTGTACTCCAGCCTGGGCGACAGAGTGAGAACCCGACTCAAAAAAAAGAGAAAGTTAGCATTGTATGACTTGGATGTATATCCAAATACCTCTAAATTATAGTGTGTTAGCTAATAAAGATACTTAACTTTATACTGAATTTTTCATTCGCCTCTATTTAAGAAACTTTTTTTTCTTAGAAATTACAAGCGTGAGCCACCGCACCCAGCTAAGAAATATTTTAATACAAATAAGTCGACATTGGATGGTCACAAATTATTTTTTCATTTAAAGGAGCCTGTCCATACGTTATTTAAGTATGAGAAACAAAAATAACATGTTGGTATAAGATTTAAGAGGCAATATTCTAAAAGGCCACGTGATGGCGATATTACCTTAGTAAACATTTGTTTCCTCCCCACCTCCCTTCAGGATCTGCAGACATCTGGTCTATTCTCCCTCTAAGAGGATCAAGAAATGGACTTGATGCTATTATCATAAATGCTGACATTCTTAGTTCTAAGTTTTTAGCGTCATAATTGCATTAGCTATCCCTTCTGGCTTTGTGCCATCTACACACCAGGCAGGCATGTAACATTTTTATCCACGTTATCAATAAAAAAGGAAAACAGCAGTGGGCAAGCTGGGTGAGGTGGCTCAGACCTGCAATCTCAGCACTCTGGGAGGCTGAGGTGAGAGGATTACCTGAGCTCAGGGGTTTGAGACCAGCCTGGGCAACCTGGCGAGACCTCACCTCTACAATGAATCAAAAAATTAGCCAGGCGTGGTGGCCCACACCTGAAGTCCCAGCTATTTGGAAGGCTGAGGCAGAAGAATCGCCTGAGCCCAGCAGGTCGAGGCTGTAGTGGCGGTGAGCCTGCCACTGCACTCCAGCCTGGGCAACAGGTGAGACTCTGACTCAAAAAAATAATAATAATATTTTTAGGTACTATTTGAAGCAGTTAGCACTAAGAAGCCTAAAAAGTAGATATAAGTTTAAGACAATGGCATCTATTTTCAGGTACTTGTCAAAAGAGACACCAGTAAAATTCAAGATACTTCACAAGATTCCATCCAGCCATTCTTTCCAAATGTTCTAGACCAGTCATGTCCAATCTGAGGCCCACAGCCCAGGACAGTTAGTAATGCAGGTCCAGAAAAATCTTTTAACATCATGTGTTGGCCAGGCACGGTGGTTCAAGCCTGTAATCCCAGCACTTTGGGAGGCTGAGGTGAGAAGATTGCCTGAGTCGGTGGGTTCGAGACCCACCCGGGCAACTTGGCAAGACCTTGTCACTACAATAAATTAAAAAATCACTGGGCAGAGTGACGCACATGTGCAGTTCCAGCTACTTGGAAGGTTGAGGGAGAAGGATCACCTGAGCCCAGCAGGTTGAGGCTGCAGTGGCCGTGAGCATGCCACTGCAC